CAGCCTTCCTCCTGCACTCAGCTGTTTACCCTGGGCACGACCTACATCCCAGATCCAACAACAGCTAAAGTAGCCCACAGGTTTTGGTCTGTTTACGAACTAACTCCCACCACACATCTCTTTCAAACAAGTTTAATGTTTGGTTTTAATTTTTGCATTTTTGCAAAAAGCTTTACATACGGTACCTGCAACACAAATACAGTAATATAAAAAATCTAAGATTGCCAGCAGCCATTGTTCAAGAGAAAAGTGTCCATTGTAGACAGGTGGATGTCTTGCACCGTGTCATAACGTAAAAGAAAAAAAAAACGCAATGGGGAGTAGCCGCTTTTACAGGTGAATGTCTTACACATGTCTGTTGTTAGAGCAGTGCAACTGTAGGTCATTTAAGTGCTGGAGTGATATTTATAAAGGGTATTACACAAAGAAAAGGAGGAGGAGAGATAAGGAAGATGGATGTTTGATAGGAACAAGGCAAAACAACCAAAAAAATTTTAACACCCACCAAACAACCACATTCAAACAAAGAAAGAAACTAAGTAGTAAGTCCAAAAATGAATCACTAGCTCTCAGAAAAACTAGTTTACCAAAGATCAGCAGATGGATTATTCACTTTTTCTTATTCTACATCTTTGCTCTCCCGATTCAACCACGCCTAGTTCAATTGAGTATATGTTTTACAGCATTATCGACACAATTTGAAACCAAGCCTTACGGACCACAGACCTCATTACTATTTTTTGCGTGTTACAAAACAACGATATATTACGCATTGACCATCAGAATTTTTGTTGTTTAGAACGCGGTTTTACGGCACTCGCAACTGCATAATAGTGGTGGGCAAAATCCGGATAACCGGATACTTCTCAGTGAAACATTATCCGAATTAAGACTCTCAAACTCTCTTTCCTGACCCGTTTGCCGAAGTGGGTGCACCCATATTTTAAAGTGGTTCTTCTAACCCATTTTCCGAAGCGATTCATGGCACATTTAATCACAGAAGAGGTGCACTAACGTTATCCGGATTTTTCCAAAGCGACTCATTGCCCAGCCCTACTGCATAAGGTCATATGAGCACGTGAGACAAGTTGGTTTTTTCTCAAAAGCTCATTGCTTACCATCAGAATTTGTATCGTGGATTTTTCAAGGTTCTCAACCCAACTGACTAAGTCCTGTCTGAGATGGACGCTAGGTTCCCAAGGTCCTTACTAGGGTCTCTTCAATAACCTAACAGTGTTGTAAGGGGAGTTCTTTTTTTCTTCTCAATCACATCACACTTGAAGTTCTGTATCTATCATATACAGGGCCGTCTATTGGCCCATATAGCTCCACCTGTAGTGTTAACGGGAAAGGGGTGGTGTTTAACCCATCATCATCGAGGGTCAGACATCAGCAATCATGGATCTCCATTCATTCTTTAGCTCAGGTGTTCTCAAGAAACCTCAAGAAACTCGCACACTTTCTGATAGAGCTGAACTCGGTATAAGAACACTCAAAAAACCAACACACATTCTGATACAGCTGAGCTAGGTATAAGAGCACCCACTGCCTACCTGGTTTACACAGAGCCATCTGATCCGACTCGGCCTGTGAGCAGCTGCCCCCGGCAGCCTCCCGCTGTAGGGCGGCCGCGTGGAAGCGGAACGTGAACAGGTCCTTCATCTTGCGGGGCACGCCCACCTTCTCCCTCAGGGTGTTGTAGCAGACGCGGCCATCCTCCATGGTGGCAAAAGTACAGCTGCAGGAGAGTTTGAATTTAGATGTTTTAGTGCGAGTTTTACAGCACTTGCAACACATTACGGTCATGTAAATGCTAAAAAATAAGTGCTGTAAGAGAGTAGCAAACACAAAAAAGGAGAGATAAGGATGATAGAAATTTGATAGGAAAGAAGGAGCAAGCCAAACCAGAACACCTGTCAACCACCTGCGCATTCAGTTAAATAAGCACATCCTCATTGACTGAGTATGTGTTTTACCGCACTATCCACTCAGTTTTGGTCATGTAAGAGCCAAAAAGTTCTAATAGCGCAAATCTATTCCGTTAAAAGGACGGACAGACATTTATAGAAATCTTTGTAAATATGGTAAAAACTATTTACATGCGTATTTACAGTATCAATTTCAGCGTATATATTATATATACATATACACACCGACCACTATAATTATATATAACTATAGTATCTTAGGAAACAATCCAATTTTTCAAATGAAACTCAAAATCCTCCTTGGACTAACAACGTCAAAAAACAGTTTTGATGTTTCTACATTACAAATATTTCACACGTATATCATGGTCAAAATCGACACATTCCGTCCGAATGTGCCCAACAGTAGAATGTGTGTTGCACGAAGCACATCCACAAAACAATGGTCATTTAAGGCAAAGGAAAAAAATAAAATAAAATAAGACAGAAAGAGAAGGAAAGAAAAAGTTATGTACTAGTGGCGCCCTCCAACCACTTAAAAGGCGCGCCCGTGCGGGTGGGTGTGTGTGTGTGTGTGTGTGTGTGTGTGTGTGTGTGTGTGTGTGAGTGTGTGAGGGTGTGTTTGAGAGTGTGAGGGTGTGTGTGTGTGGGAGTGTGTGTGTGTGTGTGTGTGGGAGTGTGTGTGTCTGTATGTATGTGTGTGTGTGTGTGTTTGAAAATGTGAGTGTCAGTGTGCATTATCAGCAATTGAGGTTGGCAACAAGTCTTCCTGATAACGGATGGCCAGATAACACCAGTATGGGGAGAGAAAAAGCAGACCAACACCAGTATGTGGAGAGAAAAAGCAGACCACACCAGAGCACCCACAAACCCACCAGCATGTAAATCAATAACATTGTTATTTTCAGATCACTAAGATGGGTTTTTCAGCACCCCTCCTCTCCTCCTCCTCCAATATGTTCATCCCCTTCCAAATCCACCCCCTCAACCCCCTCCTCCCCTGCCATACTTCTCCCTTTCCTCACTCCCATCCTCCTTCTCCCCTTCCCTAACTTCTCTCTCTCCCTTCCCCTCCCTCACTCACTCCTCTCATCCTCTTTCCCTCCCCCTCCCTCCCTCAATCCAATCACCCTCCTGCTCTCCCCCTTTCCCCTTACTCCTCTCATCCTCCTCCCCTCACTTCTTCCCTCCTTCCATCATTCCTCTCAAGCTCCTTCCTTCCTTCCTTTACTCCCTGATTTCACCCCCCCCCTTATTATTTTAACGAACAAACAAATCTAAAAAATAATGTACATATAAATTATAATACATAAAACGGAGGCAACAGTTTCTTTGGAATTGAAATGAAATTCATAGACGCATGTATTTTATTCGTAATGCGGTATAGTGGAAAAGTACCTGAAGTGGAACTCTCAGTTGATCGTCAACTTCCTTGACTATGAGAAGGCCTTTAAATTGACAGTTTAGACCGAATAACACTGTTTCTGCGCCTGTTTCCTGTTCGATGACTTTTTTTCTTCTTCAGCCATCAACTGAATGTCAAATATCGAACCAAACCAAACAAACGCAACAAATTGTATCGAAATTTCCGCCTTTCGCAGCCTTCCCACAACGATTCAGATACCATAAACAAATTAATGTGGTACTTAGCCCACTGACTTTTGAAGGACTCTGCTTGTTGAGTGATAAAGCTTTAAATCATCACCACATCGTTACAATGTATTCCCTTAAATTAGGGCTGTAGCCTGGTAACAAACCTGCTCGTGCTCGCCAGCCCCTTGTTCAAGTCACAAGCCTCAAATCACTAGGTCAAATCATCAAATCAAATCACCAGCATGATATCGGATAAGTTGAGTCTAGCGCAAACTGTAACGTCCTTGGTCTAGTCTAAACTTCAAGTCCAAACTACTAGCAATCCGCGAAGCCACTCGTGTCAGACCCCCTCATCATCCCCACCCTGCTTGCAATCCGCGAAGCCACTTACGTCAAAAAAAGAGAG